TATTATCAGCAGGTAACAAGATATATGCATCATTACAAACCATCTTGCAGTATTTCATGCTATAACAGATGAGGTACGTCTTTTGTGGCAGCATAGGGTGATCACTCAGACATTGTTGCCATTATAGCTGCTATAAATTACAACTTAACAGTTTTATAGTTGATCAATTAACTCTACTGCCAATGCTTAAAAATTCTTTATCAAAAAACACCTGATTTTTTTTCTGACTGAGAAACTGTTTTTAAAAGCCTGCTTTATAAAAATACCTGTAGATTAGAAGGGTTGCAGTCTGTGACAGTTAAAAAAATCTTATACCAAAGTTGCTAAACTGGCCCACCTATGACGAGAATTTATCAAATGTTTTAAGGTGCCTTTTTGTAAATAAAAATACAAGTGAAGCAAATATACTGGCTGTAATTTATTTTTGAGAAGGGAGATTGCCATATTCTAAACCACTAGCCAAAAATGGTTCCCACTGCACCTTTCTCTGGCTGCAGTCTCTGCCAGAAGGCTGTGAATGTCAAGTGCTTAGTAATTTCCTTCCTTAGAGTTTAAGCTATAAATAAGGACAGTGTGGAGAAGTTTAATGTTTCTGCTGGAGAAAGGACTTGAGCTCATCGGCGATGTCAGGTCACCGTCTGCCACAGATCCTGTTTGTGCAGTTACAAAATATGATGATGCAGTTGTTGAGATAATGATCTTGTGAACAATTTGTGCAGCAGAAGACCCATTTTATGTAAAGGAATAACAACACTGACAAGATTTCACTCCACGTATCTTAAATATCATATTAACTGTAAATATATTGTTAGCCAATATTAACACAATATCAGTTCTGTAACCAACATGATGGAAAGTTAGGCATCAACTCTGTGGCCACTTTTGATGCTGCATTGGCTAATTAAGAATTGTGGCACTTGTACCAGTGGCACCTGCGTGTATGTCCGGGCAAACAACAAAGTGTCATTGTCTGTTTTCCTGCAAGGGGAAGTAAGAACCTTCCCTGCCCTTCCTGGACTAAGGAGAGGTATTGCAGGAACATGGAAATCTATGCACTCGACATCTGAAAGCTGCAGCTGGTTACTGCCACCAACCTGCTTGTAAGAATACAAGGTATCAACATAAGCACACTTGTTAAAAAATAACTAAGTCTATCTGTTTTTATAAGCCATACTGGCTCTCTCTTGAGTCATGTAGCCTCAGTTTGGATATCATTAAAATAATAGACATCTGCATACCTGTTAAAACTGAGTGCACGTAGTGTGTTTTTAAGAACATGGGAATGGAAGTCACAGTAACTCTTGCAGGCTCATCTATCGTAGCCAGTGGCAGAAAAACAAAAGGTTTGTTTCCCTGCTAGTGTACTTTGGTAATGGTATAGTTGCTAGGTGGAGTTTTTTTTCATGCTGCTTCTTGGCAGAGTAAATAGATCAAATAGTGTTTCACATTCCTGGAGTTAGATTAGTTCTCATGCTAGAGTTAACATGATTCATAGAATCATAGAATCATTATGGTTGGAAGAGACCCCAAAGATCATCAAGTCCAACCATATACCTGATGCCACCATGACCGCTAAACCCACTAAACCATGTCTTGAAGCGCCACATCTAAACGTTTTTTGAACACCTCCAGGGATGGTGACCCCACCACCTCTCTGGGGAGTCCGTTCAAATGACTAACGACTCTTACAGTGAAGAAGTTCTTCCTAATATCCAGCCTGAATCTGCCCTGGCGCAACTTGAGACTGTTTTCACAACTTAAGATTCATTGTACTCAGGGCTGCCACATGCAGTGTAGATCACCCCTGGGCAGCAGAGGGGATGGGATGGAGGGTGGCACTGGGAGCCCACCTGCAATCGCACTGGTCCCTGTTCTCAGCCTGGGGATTCCAAGTGTAAACCTGCCCTGCGATGAACAACACTGGATGCTGGTGACAGCAAAAGTCATCAGATTGAGGTTTACATACTGCCTCACTCCTTATAGCTTTCTTTCATTCATCTTGTTTAATTTTAAATCTTTTTTATTTCATAAAAAAAAGGTCTACAGCCTTAGTTACACTGTATCTTATAGTAATTAGTTACGTGGGCACAAGAAATATGACTTTTCACTGGCTAGAATGTATATATAAAACCCAGGAAAAGCAGTTATTGTATATTTCATGTGTTCTTTTGTATGGCCGCATACCTGATTTGCTGCACATTCCCTGCACCATGTTGTAAAACCAGAATAACTAATTTTATCTTTTTTTTGCCCTCCCTTTATGGCATTTATCAGTATAGTATCCAATTGTTTCTTGAACATGAATTAACTCATTTTTCTCAAATGTCCTGAAGGATAAGAAAATGGGAATTTTACTTTACAACTGGAAAAAGATTGGAAAAACGTAATGATTTTGGTCCAGTATGTGATACCTGGACATGGACATTTTTTTTTAAAGAGATTGTTTAGCATTCTCTAGGATTGTCTTTGTTCACATATAGCCCCTGGTGTGTTCTGTTGCAGCTGTGAGAACTCAATACTTTTTTGAACTAATCTCTGTAGAGGGCACTCATTTCTTCAGACTGTAGCATCCACACTGGAGAAACCTGCATCTGAGCTAGCTGACTGTAATGATTAGAAATATACACTTGGGGAGCATGAAGCACCTCATCCTAAGGGCAGATACACAAAGAAACTTAAAGTCAAGACTTCTTGTAGGGGAGGAACTCAATAAATGATTGTTGTTTGTGAAAAATCTAGGTTAAGGAACTTGCCCAAATCACAAGAAGATGATGAGATGACGGCAGGGACAGGACTCCGTTCCTCAGGGCTGCATTCAGCTGGCTTTGTCATTGAACCCATACTTTTCTTTCTGTGGTCTTCTGCCTCCTTTTCTACACATCTTCCTTTTTCAAATAAGGACATTTATACAGTTTTTTTTCAGGAGCTTGGTCCATTTGGTGAACAGAATCCATTTTGTTCATAAATCCTGTGAGGGAAAAAGGAAATTGTTACATCATACTGCAATTAAAGATTTAATACCTTTTTAAAATTATGAATTCATGGGAAGGCAGTGAGCTCAGGACTGAGTTTCAAGTTCTTGAGAAGAATATGCTTTAGTGTTCATAAATCCTCCCACTTCTCCTACACTCAACCCTTCCTCCTTCCTTTCACCTCCACCCTGTCTTAACTCTTTGCTGTGCTCTCCATTCAGTCATGCTACTCAAATTGCACTGCTGTGGACCAGCAGCATCACTGATTTCTGTTCTGTTCCTTGGCCTTCACCACATTGTTCCTATAGGAAGCCTTTTTTATTATTATTATTATTATTTATTTTTTTTATTTTAATACGAAGAGTTCTGCTTGCCTCTGAAGCTCTGAGATGGAATATGTTCATTGTGAAGAGACTGACTGCTGGAGACCAACTACACAGTGCCGCCAAATCTCTTCTGCAATTATGTAAACTAAGCCACTCATGACTTGGTCCCATTTATGCAGGTTTTCCAGGCTGCCAAACTGGAACACATTACTAAAAAGCACAGCTTTAATTAAATGGTTATAAACATTTTCTTTATATGAAAGAAATGCATATTTCTGCTAATTTGTTTTTGGAAATGACTGAACTACTCTTGATGGGGCTTAAAAGAAAATCACTAGCCTGAGTAAGTAATTCAGTGTGGGAGATTTCAGCTCTAACAATTTCGGTTTGACCAAACTAAAAGCAACTGAAACTGAATCTTATTGTTTGAGACCCAGCTGCAGAAGGCCCTAACAAAACTGTAGCCAATAGCCTCTTTACATATATAAAAACAGGACTGTGTTCCCAGCCCATATCTTTGAAATTATCAATGTTTAATTTAATTTTCTAAGAAAATAATGCTTAAGTAATCACACATTTGTGCGTGTTTGCATATTTTTGCCTCCCTCCTCCATCAAATTTTTTATTCAAGGCCTAATTTCATTGAATAATTTATATTGGAAGATGCATCTACAGGTCATCTAAAGCAGGGCTAACTTCAACATTAGAGCAGGTTGCCCAAGGCTTGGTTGATTTTTTTAATACCTCTGAGGATGGAGCTTCCACAACTTCTGTAGGCAGCCTCCTTCACAAACTTATTTTCTTGCAGTTTGTGTTGGGACTCCTTTTATAAAAAATACTAGCATTAACGTCCAAATAAACTGTTCTGTCAACATGTCTTCATCATTTTCTGCTGTATCTCTTCAAGGTCTTGCTATGAATACAAAACCAGTTCCTTGAACAAAAATTTGCTTGTTTCTCCAACCCCAACACTTGCAAGATTTGAAAGTGAATCTAGGGAAAAAAGAAGTTTCTAAAAGAGAAGGGAAACATTCCAATTAGGTTTTATTGTATCATCTGTAAAAAGGTAATTAAAAGGGGAATGAGCCAGTTAGACAGTTGCCATGATCCTTACTATGAAAACACTGCTTAAATGGAGGTGATATAGTGGATTGCTGCTGACCCGACCTTAGTTCCATATGGTTTACATTTATTCTCTTCTAATTTATTTTATAAAATAGGGGAGAACAAAAGTAAAATCACTCAGCTGGACTGTACTGTGTCTACGTAAAAGGCAACTATTAAGAGCAATTGACATGCTCTGTTGTAGTAATTAGGGGAACTCTTCCAGCCCTTTATAAAAACCAGAATTGTACTGATGTTAATGACTTTAATACTAGCTACTTGGGCTACAACCTCTCTTCTGATTGTTATCAGAAGTCACAAAAAATTATAATTTGATGACAATATACATTTTCCAGGGGGAACTCCCCTTGTATTGCAACATTCAAAGATAGGTCTCTATTATCTAGAGAAAAATAATCCTTTTAAAAAGCCTGTGTCTTGTGTTTTCCATTAATTTATAAGATTTAAAGGGGACTTGCAAAAGTTACTTGCGAAATTTCAGCAACTTCCTGCTTTGAATGGTCTTAATAGATGTGCTGAGAGCCACTCAGAACACTATTGCAACATTATACATGTTTTTTCCATGTCTAGGTCCCAGTATACTTTCCTGATCCAGATTCTGTGCTTCTGTTGTGAGTAATGGTCCAGCAGGCAGGATTCTGGGGATGGCGCGGCGAACACAAAACTCTGCTGGAGCATTGAGCAGGCTGGAGAGTCAGGTAAGTGCCACTTACACAACATGACATTTTAGGAAACTTCAGCAAAGCTTTAAATGTTATTTCACAGCCAAATAAGAAAACTGGGTAATAAAGCAAATTTAAGACTTGGAAATATTTCCAGTATTTTAGATGAGATCACTAGCACTCTATAATTTTCTGCTTTGTTTTTTCCACTCCTTGTTGTTCACTTGTACCAGAATCATCTAGTAAATCGGTCTGAATTTTTTTCATATTTGTGTTTTTCACAGTTTATTTGTGGCACAGCAAGTTCTAGCAGACTTTTCGTCTTGCTTGGATTTAATGCTATGTCTAGCTGACATTTCACAACATGCAAGGCCATAACCCCTGACCCTTCAGGGTGTTTAATACAGGAAGAAAATCCTTGCAAGTGTCCAGCCTCTGTAGCACTCTTCAGAGCTCCCCAACACGCTTTCTAGATGATAGTACATCAGCTGCATTTCCAGTACGCAGCATGGCCAGGTGACCTCGTTATAACCCAAAAGCCATTAGCATATGACACTCAGTACCCCCCAGGCTTGCACACAGCTCCGCACTGGCAGGCCAGTCCTTCCGTTCCTCCAGGTTGGCTCCTTTCCTGAGCCGTGGGCCCTACTGCTGAGGGACCTGGCAGCCTGAGCTGGGATTCTCCTACTTCCAAACACTTGACTATCCCATAGCAACAAGCAGAGCAGAGAGCTGCCTGCATGGTACCTTGCCATGGAGTTAAAAACAGTGCCCCAGCTGTGGGCCCTCACCCGTGCAAGGGCTGCAGCAGGGCTCCAAGGCAGGCACCGCACATATAGCCCTGCCACCGTGGCACCTCCATGCCACCTCCACAGCCCCATCCCACCCAGCCTTCCATGCCAACGCACTGTGCTGTGAACGGATAGGGCCCTGTGCAAAGTCAGTCTGCCTAAATATGCAGGTAGGGGGAAAAAGCCGAACAGGAATTGTCTGAACCGTCTTCATGCTAGTTATGGCAGTGAAGTTGTTGCTTAGGACAGGGTGGATTTTTTTTTACAATTACTTTTGATCAAAGCTTCTTTAGTTTCTTCAATTCTAAACATGTAATTGCTCATGCTTGAAACTATAGCTCATCTCTTCTGCTAGCTTACCAGCTGCTTTTGTGTAGAAGTCATAAAAACAATTAATCACCTCAAAATTGAGTTAATCATTGATTACTCAATAGCTTCATATGACTTCATGCAAAGTGTTAGAGTGATTACATCAGAATCTTAGCTTTTATTAAAAGCAGGAAAAATATAGCCCTCCTGATTATGTAGAAAAATTTGGAACTCAGACCCTACCAATGTAGCCTATGGCAAGCTGGGAGGATTGGAGCAGGCAGCAGCAGTTTATGGGACAGGTGAAGAATATAGCATAGCTAAGTCACACTCCCAAATCTCTCATGTACTGAGAGAATCACTCTTTAAAAGATTTGTTTCGTGTTTTAATCTAATTCCTTACCATACTGCTGTTTGTATTCTGTTGGGAGACTGGCATAAAAGAAAAAAGATCACTCTTGGGAGATCATAGTATCTTCCGCTTGTTGGCTGGCTTCAGGTGTCTGCCAGTACTGTAATCTAGTCGCAGGCCTTTCAAACTTACACCTTGTTATAGTGCTCCCACTTCTACACCTCCTTCTTTCTGGTTTACAGTTATGCCATCTCCTGCATCATATTCCATCTCTCCACATCAGACTGTAGCTCCCTGAGCTTTTGTCCCTACATTTTCAGTCTCCTGCCCATGTTCTCACATAAAAAAGCAGGTCCTGCCACTTCTCAGATGGTGCTGAAGAGGTGATATATGATAATGACAGAGCAGGTCATGAGCCACTGTCCTGAGCAGGTACAAGTTACTGCATGCTAGTTCTTCCACAATGATCACCTGCAGCACATGTGAGTCAAGTTAAGGTTATTTATTCTTCTAAGACTGTAAAAAAATCTAATGCATCACAAGCAAAGAGGTTTCTATTTCTGCTGAGCATTTAAAATACAAACACAGTCAGTGTTGTTTTGACTACAGTATTTCCCCTACTGCTCTTAAAGAATATAAAAAGCCATTACTCACGTAGCAAGATGCAGACACAGGATTGTGCAACTATCTCAGTAAGCAAGCTTATTTTGCCCTTTGGTCATAGTAGTGTTGCCTCTGTTATAACTTACCTATTTAATCTCCTTCATCCTTCATGAGAACTTATAAGAAGTCTCAGGTCTTCTGCAAGTGATTCTGTTTGCTTCCAAAGCCAGTGAACGTTTTTAAATACAATTGTACCACTACCGCTTTTAAAAGTACATGCAAGTTTATTCATCTGGCATTTATGCTGTTACTTTATTATCTCTTAAATTAACCATTTTATGCTATTTCTCATATTTATGCACAGTGAATGATGTAGCTATGAAGGTACAAACAAAAAGACAACATCCTTCCCAATATGGCTTAGTATCTAAACCCACATGTAACATATAGCCATTAATACCTATGTTGTGCCTGTTAAAAGAAAAAGTGCAGATAAGTTGAAAATAGTAAATCATGGTAGAATACTCCACTATGATGAAAAAAGCCGAGTGGATTCCATCCACTGAGAATATATATTGTGCACTCTGTTTTGTAAAGATTTTTTTCCATTAAATCTTTAGTGATCAATAAAGATTTGAACTGGATGATGCTTTTGTAGTTCAGCTATCTTCTCTCTTATTTTTAACAGAGATTATTTCTATAAAATACTATCTTAGAAACTACTGCACAAAAGCTAAGAATATTCTGATAGCATTAGAAGTTTCACAACAGTTTCCAGAGATCAGCTCAAAGAGGTTTAGATTAAGTTACACATTACCTGATTCATTATTCCTAATGTAAGGTTCTCCAGCTGAAATTGAAAGTTCAAAGGCTGTGATTAGAAGATTCCCTCCCTCACTCACATCAGGGGACCTGAGGAAAATTTTGTATTTTTTAATTTCCTATGTCTTTCGGAGAAAAGGAAGTGGTTTAGCCACTTCACTAAAATGTATTGTCAGGTATGTTTGCAGTTACACATGCATTTACTTTATCTTCATATTTTCTTCACACTGTAATTATACCAAAATTTATTTTTAAAATGATCACTGAAATGCCACCAGTACATATAATTCATTCAGTCGCTGACGAAAATTAAATAGATCAGCTCCGATCTTGGTTGTTAATTTCTTTTCTTTTCTTGGAAAGGTGTTAAAATGCCTATTCCTTACTCAGCTGAGTCAGTGAAACTTTGTGCCAGTTTAAAGTAAGTGTTAGGCCTATTTATCTGCTGAAGAAATAAAACTCACTGCACACAACCCTTGACTTCTGGTGTTCAGGGTATGCAGTTCTGTGAAGGACAAAACAATGCCATTGAGAGTGCAGACTTTTTAGTTTCTACTGTTCTCTCCTGTCTCCTTTTCCATCATCAATACATTAAGCACTTTTTTTTTTTTTTTTTTAACACAATCAACTTTAGGTCTATAACTGGAACACAATTTCAATGCTTTTATTAGCTATTTCATACTCATGTATGAATGAAGTTCAGTATTTTGTTACAGAGTTGTAATCATCTAGCCAGTTGTAAACTAAATTTATTCTACCATACTGTAAGCCTACTAAGGTTGCTGGGCAAATGAAAGCCTCCAAAAGCTCCAGGCATATTCACTTCCCTTATTCCCCCTCAAAGTTATTTTTAAGACAAACACCAACCATATAACTCTTCAGTACAAAAGTTAAAATTTATCAAAGTCCTAAAAAGAAAGACACTAGAGGTGAGCATGGAAACTAGGGTGCAACTTCAATGGGCATTTCTATGAATTACTGCATAACAAGTTTCTAATTATATCATCTTGGGAAGTGAGAAAGAGAGGATGTAAAAGGGTGGACATGCTTACTATGTGAGAAGCTTCCAAGGAAAGCAAAAGCAATCCAGAGGAGTGTTGCTGTATTTCGTTTCTGAAAAAATTGTCTGATGGAGATATGCCTTTAAGTTACAGCTTTCCTTCAGTATTGCGGTAGGCTGCAGATTTGCCTTGTTCTGTTCTCCCTCCAACATTCCCAGTCCTTCAGTCAACTCAACAGCCTAAGCCTGAATCAAGCCTTTTTTACAAAGATGAATGAAGATGTGTTCTCTCTCCAAGCTTTCCAGATGATGATGGGAACAAAGGGGAAAACCACAGAACAGACATCCCAAACCTGATGAAAAATATAACTTCCACCATTGTTGCCAAGGAGAAATGGATGTACTATTAACATTTTCTGTTCCCAGGTTCCTGAGTGAGGATAATAGACAAAGTCTCTTCCATAGAGAGGACCATCTTCCATTTCAGAACAACAGACAAATCTTTATACAAAGATTAACATTTCTTTTCTTACCTGCTTTGCTCACCATCTATGCCTGTAGAGTAAGACCAATTCAATTATCGTATCCTGGAGATGAGACAACAGAAAGGGGAAGCCTCTATGAATAAAGGGAGAGGTATAGAAAATTGTCAGAAGACAGTACTGAGAAACACAGGAACATTCAGAAACAGCTGCTGGAGTAACTGCAGAAATTGTTGGTCCTGCTGGAGAACATTCCAGTTAAAACTCCAGTCCAGAAAAGGTCTACAGCCTAAAATCAATGACATGCTGAGAACAACCAAGCACTTCTCCCCTACTCAGGCTACAAGATGATGAATCACTGACAACCCCACCTCTTTTTCTGCTACTTGCCTTTCTGTGCATATGTCAAGGACAGGAGACAGAAATACTATGTTTATCATAGCATAGATTAACTCATACTTGTGGCCTCAGTACTCGCAGGCATGCTCACTACATCTGCATTGTTACATTCAGTGAAGTTTGAAATATTTATTCTTATAGGCTGAACTTTATGGTATAAGGTTTGCCTTGCTGGTGTTTAGGTTTTTTTGTTTGTGTTGTGGTTTTTTTTTTTTTTTTTTTTCTGGTAAAAAGCATTTATATTTGACAAGGGTTTAATGCAGCATCATAACATGTTT